CCGCCCCGGTACCCCGTACGCGCCCCGTTATCTACCTCGTTCCCCATCCCGTATCTACCATGTTACCCACCCCGGTACCCATCCCGTACCTACCCTGTTACCCACCCGGTACTCATCCCGGTGCACACCCTGTTAACCCGTACACAACCCGCGCGTGCCCCGTTACCTACCCTGTTACCTACCCTGTTCCCCATCCCGTACCTGTCGTGTTACCCACGCCGTTCCTACCCGGTTACCTCGTACCCACCCTGTTAACCCCTACCTACCCCGTACGTGCCCCATTCCCCACCCTCTTCCCCATCCCATACCTACCGTGTTAGCCTACCCCAGTTCCCACCCTGTTACCCCATACCCATTGCAGTACCCACTCTGTACCCACCACATTATCCACTCTGTTTCCCATGCCATAACAGACCACATAACCCACCTGGTTACCTGCCCTGTACTCACTGCGGTACCCACCACGTTATCCACCCCATTAGCCACCATGTTACCTAAACGCTTCGTTACCCATCCTGTTCCCCATGCTGTACCTGCCCCGTTCCCCATGCTGTACCTGCCCCATTCCCCACCTTGTACCCACCCTATTCCCCAACCCATTCCCACCCTGTTCCCCACCTGATACCCACCTCGTTGCCCACCCCATACCCACCCATAACCCACCCCATTGCCCACCTGCAGGGTCACCACTGCACTTACATGAGCTCCTGGAAGGCAGTGAGATCCACCTGCCCGAGGTGCCAGTGCCACCGCGGGTAGGTGAGGGCCGGGGAGGAGCTGTGGGAGATGGCAGTGGCTCACAGTGCTCACAGTGGGTCTGTGCTCCCTGCAGAACCCCGAGCTGGTGGCTCGGCTGGAGCGGATCAAGGCCAAGCTGGCCCATGAGGAGTACCAACGGATGACCCGCAACATCACTGGGCAGGTGAGGGTTTGCTGCGTGCCTGCTGCCAGGATTCATTCCAAAAAAACTGACAGCAAAGGAGATTTGCCCCTTAGCGTGAGTGCAGTGGGAATGTGACAGGGATTTGACTGCACACTGTAAATGCACTGGGACAGATCCCATCACTGGGGCAGAGGTAGGACAGGGCTGTCAGGCTGGTGAGATAGAGATACTGACTTCTGGGAGCTGTTCACTGTGCCAGAGATCTCAGGTTCTGCTCTGGGAGGTTGAGCACCCATGGTAAATGTTTGACTGGGAGCATCTGTGCTGGTTACATTTTTGTCATAGTTCTAAAACGACCTCATTCAAGTCAAGGTAAAAGCTGAAAAAAATGGATAATATTTGAGCCCTTGTTCTTTCCTGAGAGACCTGAGATCTGGCACAGTG